AATTCAGTTAAATTGATTTTATTTTTCTTATTTCGTAATTATTGATATCTTAAAAGTATTAAATATCCAAAATAATCTTAAAAGTAAATAGTTTCATTTGAATACTAGAATGAATGATTTGAAGGAACTGAAAAAAAATTATTGTTACTATTTTTATAAAGATTATATATCAATAATATTAAATCCTTGGTACTTCCAATGTTTAAATATATTTCTTTTTACCCTATTTTCTACACGTAGATCTTCCAATATCTATAAACACCTATTATATCTGATAAAATTTTGCACATCCGCTAAACTTTGCAAAACATTTGTATGATATCATTTAATTTTTAAATTCTTTAAAATGTTTAAGATTATAGAATGACATTCTTGTAAAATCCTTCATGATTCTACAGTTTATTTAACTATAATTTTATTTCTTCTTATAGTGCGTGTTATTAATTTCTACCGACTATAAAAATGCAATTACAATTTTTATATTTCTCAATACCAGTCAGCATAGGCTTAAAATACTATATACAGTCTATGATTTGTGTTTTCAATTTTCCTGCTAGATGGCGACTAGGTTTTTCCTGAGCTGTTTCCAATTGGCGTTTCCGAGTCACGTGGTATGACCGCGGGACACGCCGACAGCGCCAAGCGTATTTGGCGGGACCGCGCTTAGACGGCGTCGTCTGTGCTCCTCGTAAGTCTGTCGTGTAGTGAACCGCAAAGGCTCTCGTCGCATAATGGTGAGTATCCGCAAGTTTTCGCCGGATCCTTCAGCCATCCACATCTCGTATCTACACCATCGCGTTCTACGATCTTCAAGCTGTCTACTGGTGAAGTTTCGTGGTCGTATCCCGCAAATTAACCGTGATTTTTGCTTCGAAACAGGCTGGCGGAAAGGCGGGCAAGGACTCTGGCAAAGCGAAGGCGAAAGCGGTCTCTCGTTCGGCGAGGGCCGGCTTGCAGGTGAGTTATACTCGCTTCTCGATTCACACACTCGTTAAAGTAAAGATACATCACTGTTACACCGTGACAATGTACACATTAATAATTACTTCATCCGATTTTAAAGGTAAACAGCTTAAATCGTGATGGTTGGCGCGAAAAACGGGACCGTTTTAGATAACTAATCAACAGTTTATTTTTGTCGAGTTGGAATAATTTTCAGAGAAACAAATTACATGCATTCGATTCATTTAACTTTAATTTACATACCTGGCGATAGAAATGCGAGGAATCTTTTGAGGAAGTTAATTATTTTTTAAAGTAAAGTTATGGTGGTCATGTCTAAGTTCGGAAGTTTTCAAACGAGACGGTTAAGTCTGTTGTGCCCTCCCCCCTCCCCCTATTTCTTTCAATTCACTTATTAACAATTTTTATCGTCATATTTTAAATGAAAGTCGCCAATAAATAATGATTAATAATTATTAAGTAAATGACTGTTTATTTATGTAGAATTATATTAATTAAATTGGAAAAATTTTAAATGACAGCAAACGTAACTTGGTCCCGGTAGTATTATTGTCATATTTGGTTACGCTTATCTACCATCAGAACTTAATCGAGACAAAGGTGGATTTTGTTTGAGTTTACAATAATCAATTGCAATTGATATTGGTAATGTAACAACTACGCGCATCAATATTAAATTAATTTATTATTTAAATATCTCAACAAGTTTGAAATATTAAGGAAATAAATGTAAAATTATAGTCGAGTGTTCGCAGTTTCTGACAACGTAAAAGGATTAATAATATTTTGACCATAAATAAGTAAAATACAGGAGGAACACAATACAATGACGAAACCAGTTACCAAAGCTGGAAAGCTCGGGAAAGTCGAATCATCGCGCATCGCTCGATATTCGTTGCGTTAAAAGTGGACCGAGTTACGTATGCCGTTCTGTGTATAAATGTATTTACTTTTTAGGAATGATCGTACAAACGGTAACATAATAAGGAATTCTAGTGGTAAAACTCTTGTGGATATAAAGTATTGCGAAAAATCGTGTCATTGCTCCTCGTTCGATATTTCTTGCGTGAAAAGCTGCTGACGCGTGTGACCTTATGTTATCTGAACAGACATTACATATGATGCGTTCTAACCTGTAAATATTTACCTTGCCACATTGCCAATATTATCTTTCATATGGGATAATTTGTGCGTATAGAAGATGTATCATGATTTTGTTTTACTTTTCAGTTTCCTGTTGGCAGAATTCATAGGCATTTGAAAAACAGAACCACAAGTCACGGTCGAGTTGGTGCTACCGCGGCAGTATACAGTGCAGCAATCTTGGAATACCTTACTGCCGAGGTGAGTGAAACGTATATATGGAATAACATATGGTGAGACGAAGATGGGAGTCCAGAGTATGTACAGGAGCGAGTGAAATGGTGTGATAGGTAGTGTGTGAGGGAAAGGGAGTGAGAAAGAGCAACACACAATAGGAAGATCAGTCGTTGCAACCAGAACTGCATACGTTGGCATCACTAGTAACTAATGGCGTCACCAATACCAAACATGGCCGATTTTTCCCGCCTTTTTGTTAATGTATTCTTTTTTTATTTTTCTTCACTGTTTTAAATACCTCTTTAAAGGATATATATTTCTTTCACATATGTTGAAAAAATACAGTAACATTTATAGGCTAACGATTGTGATTATTTAGTTTTTAAATTGAAAAGTTTTTGCAAATATTTTCAGTAGCTGTGACAGATTTATTTATGGAATAATTGATTTTTCTTCATGCAATATAATTAGGAGAAAATGTATAATCAGTTAAAAAAGTGTAAGGATAATGCTGTGATCATATTATTTTGTACTTTTTGTCTGGTAGTAATTACAGTACATTTTGAAGAACTCAAAAATTATTCTTCTTTCCCCCAAATTTTGTTTAGAACATTTATATAATATTTATATAAATATAGATCTTTTTAAATTTATGCCATGAAAAAAATAATATTTTTAGAAAATTTTAAAGAGAATATATTTAGGGAGATTTTTCTATTTCTTAGTTAGCGATCAAGATTTTATTTAAAAGTCAAAATAATTTTATGCATGTTATTTAAAGTCACAATGCATAATGTAGTATTTTGAAAGCAAATAATTCTTGAAAATGAATGATCCTTTTTTGTTAACTTTTTTTTATATATTTCATAAAGTGGATATATTATATTTAATTAATTTAGTATTGTAATTATGAAAACTACTACAGAAATAAATGATGTTAATGAATACGTTGTATATCTGTGTTCTAACAGTTATAATATTCTAATGTACAGCAGGGGTGCTTTATAAAAAACAGATACTATAATTGCAAGAATTAACTGTAAAGATATGTATATGAAATAAATGAAGCATAAAAGAAAAAGAATTCTCTATTAGTAACAGGAACAGTGTATTTATAATGCAACAAATTGAAATCAACCAAAACATCAATATTGTAAACTGACTTTAGATATTTGATAGAAAAAATATAATATTTCATTAATATAAACAAAGAATATTTTTCATTCTTTGCTTTAGGTACTAGAATTGGCAGGGAATGCATCAAAAGATCTGAAGGTTAAACGTATCACACCAAGACATCTTCAACTTGCAATTCGTGGTGATGAAGAATTAGATAGTCTCATTAAAGCAACCATTGCGGGAGGAGGTATGTTGTATTATAAATTTTTGTATGCTAAAGTTATTCTGATACTACTTGTGGATATAACATGTTAAAAATTAAAAACATAACAGATCAGAAATTTTTAAACAGAATAGAAACAGAATAAATAGAACTACGTTATGTTAGTAATGGAAACTAGTATAACTTGGTTGATCATTCTAAAAGTTAATTAAAATACACCATTTTGTTCCTGTGACTGTTAGAAATAAAGTAGTACTCAGAATATGTTACATGTTGCGTGATTTATCTAACTATTACAGTGACAGTATTATGTCAAATTACTGTCATTTTTTTAGAGGGGGTTCATATAGTTTTTTCAGTTTATATGCGGTGTATTTAAGTATAAAATATTTTATAATGTGAAGAAACTGTAGTTAATGGTCTTGAGAATAGAATATGTTTGTCCCGCAATTTACGCAATTTTTATTTTTACGTGTAGTTTTTATGCGCGATCTGAATTTAGTAACACAGAATAAAATATACTTTTGTTTTCTGAAATGTCATTATTATTATTTCTTTTGTTTGGTTGTATGAAATGAATATATATTTTTTAAACTTATACTTGCCTGCGTTTCTCTCGAATATTTTGTTTTCTCCTGTATCAGCAGACTCTATTTACGCGATTATCATTTGCGTAAAACGAATCCACGTAGAGCGAATTTTTGCGTAAATTGAGGGTCAGGTGTATATAAACATCTTACATTGTATATAAATATTTTACAAATAGAATAAAAGTTTAGGATCTGTTGTATAATTAGAAATATTGAATTTATGAAAGATTTTAATATTTTGTTGAACTGAGTTATATATTTTTATTTTGCATACTTTGTGATTTTATATTAAAACATACACAGATGTATATATTTATCAATGTATGATGTCGTTTAACGAATAGCAAAAGCTTCCGTTTCATTTAATGCCTGGTTAAGAAGAAATAATAGATAATATTTAGAAGGAAAAATAATTATAAAATTGGAATCATATTATAAAAAATGATTAATAGTGAAGGGCATTGTAAACAGATATTAAATATTTTAGTAATTATTCACAGCTTCCCGGACGTCATTTTTAAACTTAATTTCATGTTCTTTTCTTTTCAATTTAAAAGTATTTTGATTTTGATGATTTTAATGTTATTTTGGTACTCAATATAATTTGTCTCTTAAAATTGCAATGTACGACAGATAATGGATAGATTAGTTTTAATAAATGATGATTTTATTTAACTCAGAAGGACAATTTTCAAAAATGAAAAAAGACTCTCAGTTACTGAGTTCAATACTTAGCTTATACTTCATTTATATCTATTCCTTTCTTTTTTACTATATTTGTATCATTAAATAATATGACAACAATGAATTCATAAACGCAAAAGTTCATGTATTAATTTATATATCCAATGTTATTTTATTTATCTTACAGGTGTTATTCCACATATCCACAAATCGTTGATTGGCAAGAAGGGTTCACAGAAGCCAGCATAATTTAGTGAATCATTCAGGAACATTTGAAGCTATGTAGGCAAAAAAAACAAGAGATGCGAAAAAGCAGAGTGATTGTTGACAAAGTGTACCTATGTTATTAAATTGATGGCGAGACTGGCGTGATATAAATATATATATAAATATATATATATATAGATATATAGATATATAAATAAAAACAAATATTGATATAATTTAATATAGGTAAATGAGAATTAAAGAAAAGACAAATTTTCACCAGGCAATTGGCATATTCAGAAAGGGACGATTAATAATTATAGGTCTGATATAAAGAAATAAATTTTAGTGTATGCTATATACTGCAAATAGTTGACGAGCGATGCGTTGTAGCATGGTTCGTTCAAATCTGCAGAAATTTTTGGTACAGTATGCATTCTGAAAGTTAGAGTATTTAAGGACTTGGATGTCTGATGACCGTTTAAAAATTTCTTTTTTCAGCGTCTTTCTTAGATTAATGGTGTTTAACTTTGTCTCTTTTTTAAATGACCGCGTGTTACTAACGCTATTTTCTTAAAAATTGCTATTTGAATATAGCATAATTATTGTTTTCGAAAGCTGTATGATATGCGCAAGTATTAAGTATATTTCCATATTTTCACTATTTAACATATTAAATTTTTACTCATGTCTATCTGTCTATTGCTCTTCTCCTGTGGACATAAGTGGAAATAAATAATCATTCTTGTTATTAAATACTCTGAACTATCTTGAAACAGTCAACAGTGTGTATAAACGTTTCTAGAGTACATTTTTTATTTTGGGCTATTTATCTAAAAGTTTATTTTGCTAAATATCCAATTCAGTTTTTAAAGTTTTCAGTCTTCATATGATTAATATTTTATACAGGGTGGGTCTCTTAAATGTGTATTCTTGTATATTTATAAAAATTGGATATAGGAGAAAATAAATTTTTCTTCAGTATTACGAATTACGACCAGACATACAAACATGTTCAGTTGTTGATTGTTTATTTAAATTTATTAATTTTACTTTTATTGATTTTCCTTAATTTATGATATATAGTAAAATGCCGTTCCAATATCTGTTTTCGTAAGATATTGAATAGTTAAATAGATATAGATAAATGACATAGAAATAACTAATGGTTTTGTTTCTCATATAAATGAAGAAAGTTCGAAGGGATATTAATGACTTCGAGAAATTTCTCGTACATCCAAATGTACACTTTTATGTATTCCACCCTGTACAAGTAGTGTTTTAGTAGCTTTTTCTCTAAACACATTATTTTCTGCTAAGTTCTGTTAACTTAATAGATTTTTTTAAAGCACTGGACTGGTCTAAACTTAAATATTTTAGTTTTATTCCACAGTGTATTGAGAATTATGAGACTGGAACCTTTGAAGCACGATAGGTTTTTCCACTCACGTATGTGTGAAGAAAAATATTTCGGCATCACAGAATCTTTGATGTAATATCATAATGTCTATACTAGTAGTATTCAAGTATAAAATGTAAAATCATAGTAGACAAATTTTGAACCAGTTTGAAACGTACAAGCAGTATATGTTTATAAGAAAGAACAAGTAATTTTTGGTTTTTTGGCACCATGTCATTTTTCATATATTATTCATAAAATTGTTGTTATTTACGACATTTAGTGTAATTTTCATTGTATCTACGGTAACACCGTATATTAAATACATGAGCCATATGTAAAAGTTCATTTTTCATAATAAAGAAAAGTTTTACTATTAAGCCTCTCCCGGTTACTGTAGATGAGAGTAAAAAGGAAACAAGTATGCTAATTTGTATTTTGTGCCTTCTTTAAAGATCGTTTAGTGAATATCTCAGAAAAGGTAAGGAGTATGCGAAAGGCTGTAATACAACGAATGAGTTTTGTATGTGCACCATTGTACATGAATTGCATATTGTCATTTTCGTATTATGTGTAAACATACAGATTAAAATATACCTTCTCTGGTAGAATGTGGCTGTATGATTAAAAACAAAAATTACCCAAAGTTCAAACTGTAAAACGTGTAAGAAATGCATTACAATTTCTTGTATTTAAAGTCGAAATTAATCTAATTAAAACTTTAATGATATCAATATGATATCAACAAAAAAGGGAAATAAAAAGTATTGCACTTTTTTAAATTACAATTACTTCATCTAATGGTTTTTTAAAATTTTCTATAAATAAATTTTATTGTTTTCCAAAAAGTATGTTCATTATTTGAAGTACAATTTTAACACCCGGGCGGTTACCGTCGTGAAAAGTACTGTAATATTATAGAAGCTGTTTGTATATAATAATTCAAATTTACAATCTCTGATATCAAGGAAAAAGTTTGAAGTAAATATGTGTGCACAAACATTAAGTTACATACATAATGTCTGCAATATTTTTATAAATAAAAAAGTAATATTTTTCTTTCAAGTTCCAATTAAGTTTCTACTACAAGCATTTTTACAATGTTTTCACAACAGCATTTACTGTACTTACCATACATTAATACAAAGAAAATATAGTTGTCAGAAAATATGTTCACGTTGCAAAATTAAAACATATTTTTAAATACACAAATTAAAAATTGTATCAGACGTGCTTACCCATTGCTTACTGAAGATGACCTGTACCTATGTAAATAAATCATTCAAACCATTCCGTCATAAAAGTCGGTATCATATATGGAAACTGTATGAAGTTAGCGGAACGGAGAAACCATTCGTAGAATACAAAGGATAACAAGTGTCGCATGACGGAAAAGTTGTTAGCGTGAAGCTACTCTAAGACAGTGTACAGGCCTCCAATCGACGTTCACTAATTACTTCACTCTGAAAACAACAAATCGTTTTTCAACATTAAAAAGGAAACTTAGCTATGAATCTGCCAAGAGTATTTAGTAGGGTTAAACGTTTCTATCAGCATCCAAGCTTCACCTGCAGTTGAAAAATCGCTTCGGGTACATTTCCATCCCACGTGTTCGAGGGGGAAGCGTCACAGAATCATACATCAAAATTCATCGCACAGTGCTGCCACCATACTGGGAGCGGTCTCCAACCTCTGCTCCCCACCAGGTAGCCAATCCTATGGCAGGTTCAAAGCCTTGCGGCTTTTCGTCGGGTCCGCTCATAGTGGGGTACGATATAGCTCCTTGCGTCCGTGCGTGAGAGAGATAGCAGCAAGGAAGAGCTCCCCACTAAGCCGGTCAGAAGCTCAGTCGCCTTTCACGAGCACGGTCGGCTGGGCGACTTGGTGTGCCGCGGGTATACTCGTAAGCGTGAGCCAGCGTACTCAAATTCCATTCGTATCGGGGTATTCGTTTATTGACTTGACACGGGGGACAGGATCTCTCGACGGATCGTCCTCCGTAGTCCAGAGACAGTGCTCGCCGGTGAATGCGTGACTGTCAAGCGTCGCGTCGGACCCCACGAATTTGAGAGATTTTTATTGTGAACCATACGATTCGGACAAGAAACCAGTGATCTCAGGGACTTGTTTCCGGTTCAGTCAGCGCTGTTGCCGTGCTTCAACCGAATTTTTACGCGCGAACTACGATGGAGGGGATTTGAAAACCGGTGACACGGTATCGCGAAATAAACTACACACTACTATTTTCCGTGGCTAGATATGATTTCCTGCTCGGCGTAACTCACGAATCTGAAGGCTCCTTGAAGATGAACAACAGGCACCCGGATCGAGTATCTATTCGGTGAGTAATTTCTGTTTCTATCGCGTGACAACGCTTTTACTTGATCAAACTGCTGGCCGAGTTATTACGCCGGCACGGTGAAAGGAAAAGACGTTTCGCTGGGAATTCACTGGCGTCACATTCTTTGGAAATATTCATGGGATTAACGCATCTCTGCGACTGTATTGTCTGAAGCTGTACATTCTCTTGTACCGTGTCATTCGGGTTTCCCCGACGAAAGGAATCATGCGTGAGAAGCGTGTAGGTATTTGAACACTAGTTGCTTCAACATTCGAAGGTCAATGAACAGTATTGACGTTTACCTTTGACACTTTCGGAAACTTCGCGAGGGAAGATTAAAGCGCGGTCATTTTTGCTATGTCACGTGACTTGATATAAGCCGTGAGTGTCATTTCAGTTCGGAGCAATCGTTTCCGATGATGTAATTTTTAGTTTCGTGCACACCTGGTAATTTAATTGTTTGATATATGTGAACCTGTGACTTGTATCATTTTTAATTACCGTTTAAGTAATAGATTATTTATAATTGTAATATTATTTAAAACCAGAAACTTTAAAGTAAGAAAACTGTTGATAAATAAGTAATATTAAGTTCTAAATATTGATTTTTTGAACATTTAAAAATATTTGTTAAAATATGCAAGTTTGAAAATATTAAAACACGAACATAAATATAGACATTTTTTTGGAGTAAATGTATAAGGGTTTTTTTATGACTGCGTAAGAAATTTATTAACTTTTCAAAAGTAGAAATCTAATAATGCAATAATATGATATATGCAAAAAATATCGTCGAAATATTCAAGCCTATACAATATTATTTCAGTGAATTAC